GCACCTCCCCCCCCCCCCCCCGCCCCTCAGGAAGGATTATTAAAATTAGGCGGTGGGCCATCCAAGGACAAAGGCTTTGCTGATTACCCCATCCACCCATGAGAAATCACAGGCAGTAGGTCTCGTTCTATAGGTATTAATGCTGGAAGAAGGAAATAAAGATAAGTGACGTGAACATTGTTCATCTCTTTGCTGTTTGGACTCTTACAAGGGCGCTGGAACTAAGAAACAAAAGGCAGAGATCCCCAGGGTCAAACTGGGTTGGCCCTGAATAGGCATTCAAGGCTGATGGTTTACTACCCCTCCTTCATCTTTTGGAACCATAGACTGATACTCATTTGCGCATAGACGTTGCCACCTTTAGCCCGCAAATACAACTCTCATTTCTTTCTCCTAGGGTATGTCTACACTACAGCGCTAGTTCGAACTAACTTAGTTCGAATTAGTTAATTCGAACTAAGCTAGTTCGAACTAACGCATCTAGAACTAAAAACTAGTTCGAACTAGCGTTTTGCTAGTTCGAACTAGTAAGTCCACATTGAGTGGACTCTGAACAGGGCTTAAGGATGGCCGGAAGCAGTGCCGGCAGGGCATAAAAGGAGGACTTAGAGCATGGAGATACTGTCTCAGGCTAGCCGAGGGCTGCGCTTAAAGGGTCCCGACCCCCACCCCGGACACACAGTTCTAAGGGGTGCCCCGCTTGCAAAGAAGTTCTGGCTTGGAGTGCCCTGAGTGCCCACACTGGGCACATCACACCACTCGGCCATCAGCCCGGCTGCACTTGCCGCAGGCTGCCATCTGGGGAGAGGGAGTAATTGGGGGGCTGCAGGAGAGCTTCCACCCCCAGAAGCCCGCAGAGCCAGCCCAGTCCTCCCCATCGGGGGCTCGTACCCCATTCCTCCCTCACCTCCTTCCACTTACCCTTCCCTAGCCCCCCTTCTTATTGATGTACAAAATAAAGATAACGTTTCTTCCAACATTGACTCTGTCTTTATTGAAAAAAACTGGGGGAGACTGGGAAAAGGAGGTGGGAGAGGGGAAGAGAAAGGCTGGGAGAGGGGAGGGCAACTAACATGATCAGGGGTTGGGAACAGGTCCCAGATGAAGAGAGGCTACAGAGACTGGGACTGTTCAGCTTAGAAAAGAGGAGACGGAGGGGGGACAGGATAGAGGTCTCTAAAAGCAGGGGTTGGGTGGAGAGGGTGCATTCAGAAAAGTTCTTCCTGAGTTCCCATAAAGAAGGACTAGAGGACACCAAAGGAAAGGAATGGGTAGCAGGCTTGAAACTAGTAAGAGAAAGTTGTTCTTCTTCACAAAGCAAATAGTTAACCTGTGGAACTCCTTGCTGCAGGAGGCTGTGAAGGCTACAACTAGAACAGAGTTTAAAGGGAAGTGAGATCAAGTCATGGAGGTTGGGTCCATGGAGTCCTATTAGCCAGAGGGTAGGAGTGGTGTCCCTGCCCAAAGTTTGTGGAAGGCTGGAGAGGGATGGCACGAGACAAATGGCTTGATCACTGTCTTCGGTCCATCCCCTCCAGGGTCCCTAGGGTTGGCCGCTGTTGGCAGACAGGCTACTGGGCTAGATGGACCTTTGGTCTGACCCAGTACGGCCATTGTAAGCTCAGGGCTCAGGGTCGGGGGTCTCAGTGGACCCCCTTGATTTTCATGCACACCTGGTCCTGGGTGGCCAGGCTGGCAGCTCTCCTGCCCTAGACGGCCACTTTCCTGTGCCTAGTGCAGAGATCGTGGACAAGGTCCATTATGTCTGCACTAGCCCAGGAAGGTGCCCACTTCTTGCGGTCCTGGGCAAGCTCCCGGGAGCCGCCAGCCTGGGCCTGGGGAGAGGGTTCTTAAATTTTCAAAAGTAAATGTCTAAATATATCTCTCTGGGTATGTCTACACTACAAAGTTAGTTCGAACTAACGTAACTTTAATAGGTGCTACACTAGCGCTCCGCTAGTTCGAATTTGAATCGAACTAGCGGAGCGCTTAGTTCGAACTAGGTAAACCTCATTTTACGAGGACTAACGCCTAGTTCGAACTAGCTAGTTCGAACTAGGCGTTAGTCCTCGTAAAATGAGGTTTACCTAGTTCGAACTAAGCGCTCCGCTAGTTCGATTCAAATTCGAACTAGCGAAGCGCTAGTGTAGCACCTATTAAAGTTAGTTCGAACTAACGTCCGTTAGTTCGAACTAACTTTGTAGTGTAGACATACCCCCAGTTACTAACTCCTTAATTAGTTTGCAGTGCTGTGAGAGCTAAGATACCAATTGGAATATGACTGGTCTCTCAGGACGAGGAGCAACCTAACTATTTTGTTGTGTTTTAGTCCAGGCCACTACTTAGCATGATGTGCAGCTTGCATGGGTGGCAAGATAGACTGGAGAGCCCCAGGGACTGTCTGTCACTCCATGGTCAGACTGTTCCAGGGATCCAGGAGGTCACAGATTGTTATTGGGGTGATGAAATCTAGCTACAAAACACAGCACCTCTTTGGTATGCCTGTCCTGCTTTTGACATTGGCTGTATGACAGCCAGCTTGTAGGGTTGCCAGATAAAAATACAGACATGGCAGGAAAAAATTGATTGAGCAAAAAAACAAACAAACAAACTACCACCACCACGGGGACCAAAGTTGTTGAGGAAAAAAAAAACAACCTCACAAAAAAAAGAGTTATGGTGCCTTTAAATCCCCATGATCCCCCCGCCCTTACCAGATGTGGCAGGGGAAGAATGTTCCAAGCGGCCTTCCATCTGAGAAAAACAGAAAATACTGGACATTTTACATGTCCAGTAATTTCTGGTTTTTTTCCAGATAGAGCTGCAAATAGCAGACTGTCTGGGCCAATATCGGACACCTGGCAGCCCTACCAGCTTGGGATGAAATCCTTGGCCCTGTTGAAGTCAAAGGCCTCCGCAAAACCCAGGATGGAATATGGGTAAAAATTCCCCAAAGAAGGGATAGGAACATGTCATTGATTTTCCTGGATTACATAACTTGTGGACCCTGGCTGATTTATAGCCCGCTTTTCAGACAACACCAGCCCCTGTCCAGATCAGTAAAAGGAGTTATTCTTTATTTAGGGCAGTACCCCCTCTGCCAGGCACTTTCCACACATTTAAGGACAGTCCTTGTGATGAGGGGCTCACAGTGTCATCACACTTAAACCCAGTGAAGAGCATCTATGTTTAAAACACATGGTGGAATCCTGGCTCCATGGACTCTACTGGGAGTCTTGCCATGAACATCATACCGTCCCCAGGATTTTGTCCACTGTTCCTGCTTAGCAGATCATCGTTCTGGCGAGCCCTGTTCTGATCCCAGTCAGGAAGGGCTTGTTTTTCCTAATGAAGTCAAGTGTTCCGTGGAGAACACCCAAAATAAAGTGAAATTGACATGGTGCAGCCAATACTTGAGTGCTGGGACACTTGGGATTCCCGTGGTGAAGCTATGGGAAAGGATCTGAGAATCTTCCAAGCCCATATTTAGGGGATGTAGTTACAACCCAAGTATTCCTGATCTAATTGCAACATGGGTCCGTCTTGGGACGTGGCTGGGACTTTCACCAACTGCTGAGACCACGCGACAGCCAAGAATTTGGCACCATTCGGGAACCTGGTTAGAACACAGACAGTTCCCATCTATTTTTCAGCGTGGAACCAGTGTATGTTGAAGATGGGGGTGAACATGTGGTAACGAGTTCACCTCCCATGGAGCTAGTTGTGGTAGGTATGGGCCTCACCTGGATTAGGAAGATGGTGTTTAAACATCTACCCATGCAATCACTCCTATCGCTCCTTTTCCTTTTTCTAGTTATATAGAAAACCTATGGTTATAGGCAGTGCTTTTTTTTGTAAGAAAAAAGGTGCCGGCACTCCAGGCTCAAAGTTGTTGAGCAAAAAAAAAAAAAAAAGGAAAAGTTGAGAAAAAAAAAACACGCTGGGGGCCAAAATGCGGTCGTGGCCCCTTTAAGAGCTGCATTGCATGTCCTGGGCGAGCTTCCGTCAGGAGCCAAGCCACCCCAGAAAATAAGTGCCGGTACGCCAGAGCACAATCCCATTCAATTAAAGTATGATGGGAAAATAGGTGCCAGAATGCCATGCTGGCACGTACTGTCACCAAAAAAGCACTTTTTATAGGGATTAAGTTAGTTCTCTTTATCTCTATACATATGAGAGAGTTTGTGTGTCTGTGTATCTCTGTGTGTGTCTGTCTGTCCATATCTGTCTGTTTGTTCAAGAACTTCCTCCTAAATAGGAGGCTAGGACTACCACATTTGATATGCAGCTTCCTCTTATCATAACTTAAAACAAGGCCGGGGTTTGGTTATGCCAGGACCATGGGATGTGCCTGGAATGAGATTGCTTCTTAGAAAACCAAACAGAAAAGAGACAGAATCACCAGGCAGGTGAAAAGCGCAGGCTGCCCCCCCCACCACCCCGCATCCTGGACCTGCCCCAGACTCAGAGCCTCCCACCCCCAGGGCTTATTCCCCCAATTCCTACTAGAACATTGCTGGCTGTCTCCTTTCGTCAGGGAGTGAGGGGAAAGTGCAGCTTGCTGCATTCTTCACTCTGGCTGAGGCACGGGGGGCAGATGAACCTGGACCTGTCCCCACTGGGGGGCACGCG